GAGAGAGAGGAAAAAGGAAAACGCTAATTACCTTTGTCTCATTAATATTCACGACATTCGACCGCATCGTTATGCCTCTCGGTCTAATCCCCCTGTTCCCCCTGCCTTCCTCTCGCCCCCCTCCCCACCTTTCCGTATTCTTGGTCTTAACCAATCTTGCTCTCGTCCCCCTCCTTCCGCTTTCTTCACCCTCTTTCCGCCGCTCGCGATACACCGGCTGCGACGAAGAAGGATTACGGATATTCTTAAATACGGGAGAATCTCGTTGGGAGATTCCCCTCCACCTTGGAACTCGATTCATTTTTTCCCCGGGTCCGTTGGGGGTAAGATTCACCTCACGGTCTGAAGAGACAAACGTTTCTTTGTAACGCAACGCTGCTTTGATTATTCCCTCCCGTAAACGATCCGGCATTCTTCGCGACATAATTTGATTAGCAGCCGCCGCCGCAGCAAACGGATCGAGAGAGGATTGTTACCCTTACCCCCGTGGCGATATCTGCGCATCATATCGTGAACGGAGCGGTAAACTTCGTTCAACACGATTTTTCAGACACTTGAACACGGAGCACACGCTGGACGACAGATCGACGGCGCAGGCCAGGGTTCAGATGCAAGTGGTCTCGCAACTGGAGATCCAATTGCAGAAGGAGCGGGACCGGTTAACCGCTATGATGCATCACCTGCACGTGGCGAAACAAATGGCTTCCCCCGAGCCGCCAAAGTCGTCCGAGTCATCGGTGAGTTGTCGTTGCTGAGTAAAATTTGGATTTTCCTACGTGGCAATTTTTATTTATCGATTTTTATAATAATTTTTCTAATCGTAATTTGTGCTCGTTGCACAATCGAAGAAGGGATTCTCAGAGGTAGTGTAGCGTCGATCGAGATGTTACCGAGGGGAAAAAACAATATGTAAGCGTAAATTGTAACGCGACGATGATACAAGCACGATAATGGATAGCAATAATCGTAAGATGGTGGGTTATGTTTGCTCTCGGTATCGGTAAAACCGGGGTTTCGAATCCGGAAAAACGTTTCCTAACGATCGTGTCGGGATGGTAAACTCTTGTGGTGGGATCGGGGGCCGTTCGGCGGTCGTAAAGCCAGATTTTCACGGCGCTCGGGGAATTTTACGAGCTCTCTTGCCGCGGCTAACAACAACGCCAGTTTTCAGTTTTAACGCGCCGCCGAGTAGACTCGCTAATTTATACATAAAGTTTGCATTAATAATTCATCGGGTCCTCGTTGATTTTATATCGCCTTAATTAAAACCTCTAACAAGTCCGACAGTCGGAGAATACCAATATCGCATTAGCCCTCTCCACGCGGCTGCGTGGCTCGTCCTCTCTGCCCGACTTAATTATTTTAACGCGAAAGAGAGGAGCCCCGCCCTTCATTCATCGTGCTCACGGATCATCTCTGATATCGAAACTGTGTTCCACTCGAATATTTTCTATCAACATATTCGAATGTAGATTCAAAATCCTCCCATCTTGCTTATTATCCATTTTCCTTTTTATAATTTTACGTACTGTAAAGGAGTAATTTTCCACTTTCATCTTTTTCTTTTTCTTTTTTTTTTCATCGAGTTGTGTACGTGTGTAGTTCGAACGAACTACGCACATATTTTTTTCCAATGAATATCGAATCATTAGCAAAGTGCATCGATTAACATACGGAGAAACGATAAACACGAGGAATAAATAGCATATTTGAGGTTTCGCTCGAAGAAGAAGAAGGGAAAAAAGAAAGAAGGAAAGAAAAAGGTCGAAACGATGTTCGAAACCGTGTAAATAATAAGGCCGCAGGCATTCTTCTTCTTTCCGTGTGCACACCGTGGACCGCTTCCTTTTTCAGACGGGCTCGAGTATACCAAAGTTAAATCTCTCCACCGCTCTGATGAGCCAGCCACCACCGAATTTCGGTGTCTCTCAAGTGTCTCCCGTCTCGATGTCCGCTTTGGTGTCAGCGGTCAGGTCGCCAGCAGGTGGACAACTGCCACCTTCGGCCGGAGCGCCTATGCCGCCCATTCCCAACATGTCCAACATGTCGGGGATGCCTCCGTTGCCGAACATGCCTGGTAGCATGCCCACCATGCCTACCATGCCCAGCATGGCGGGGCCCATCAGACGACGTATCAGTGATAAATCCGCCCTCTCCTTGGCAGGAGGTAAGAATTTCTCGTTTAATTAGTCATTTATCACGTTTTAAACTGTGATATCTAATTAGTAATTTTCATTCATCGGATCAGGCATTAATCGATTGCGATTAAATTGCGAGAAATCGTTGTTTCTTTGAACTCTTGTTGAACTCTTCGTGCGTCTCTTCCGTTTTACCTGCGAAATCAGGAAAATGGTCAGGATAGAAACGGGAGTAGTAGTATTTTTTTTAATCTGATAATTGTTGATAATCGTTGTTTTTCTTTTTTGTGACAACCATTTTTCAAAAAAAAAGAAAAAAAAGTATAAGTAAGTTTTTATTATCGTATACGAGATACGGAGATAATATCGTCCCGAGAAAGGTGAAACGAAAGACATGTGAATTTTAGAAATTGAATACTATTCGTAGGACTGTATGACGAGGGCACTGTAAGGCGCAGAGTAGCCGTCGATAGATCTGGAATAGATATTAACGAAGGTAACGATTTAACAAAAATTCAGTCGGGGAAACGCACGATCTGTGAAATGCTGTTATCTCTTGTTATCTTTTACGAATTTAGAAAAAGAAATAAGTAGAATATATAAGCGTATAATCAATTTAACATAATGTACATAATTTCACTGTAACCGATAGTGAATTTATGCCTTGAACGATGGAAAAAGAAAGAAACGAAAAAAAAAAAAAAAAAGAATAATTTAGAAAGCATTTCCCGGCTCGTTCTCGTCGAATAAATCCCGACAAAAAGAAAATCCTGTAGCAAATGCTCTTTACGGTCCTCTCTTGATTCTCGTGCCTTTTCTCCTATCGTAAAACTATTCTACCACACGCACAGATTCATTCACGGTAGCGACAATGTCACGTGAGCTACAGTGTTCGACACCTTGTTGGCAACGTAGGACAAATTTAAATAGGTGCATATAGAGAGCAGAAAGGTACAAAGAATGATACAAAGTTCAAATAAGAGAAAAATAAGAAGGAATTGAAAAAAAGAGAAAGTAAAAAGTGCTAGTAAAAGAAAAAAGAAAAAAAAAAGTTGAAGAAAATTTAATAAAAAAGCGTACGCCAGTTCGAACCTTTTTCTTACCGATGCTTCTGTTGTTTCCTTATTTCTTGTGCTGCCCGCCCTCCCCACCGTGTAGGGCTGCCCTACATGCTGGAGCGTGCTGGCCTTGACGTCCAACAAGGTACTGTCAACCTTCTTTCCACGCTCCTTTGGTGGCTTTAAGGATTTTCTTAAAGGGTGCACCCTTTTGCATGCTGGACAACTTTATCTCTCTTTCACCACCCTTCCCCCCTTTCATCCCTTCTTCTTTCTAGAATAGAGAATCGGATACTTCGATCGTCATCCGTCATCGATGATCTCTTCTATAAAGAGGGACGAGCAAGAAGTATTCGTTTCTATACTTTTTTTATGAAACATCTAATCGCTTTTCGCTTATTCTTTGATCTAGTTTTAAGAGTGTCGTATATAATTTTTCATACTCGGTTATTTGTTTCATTTGGCATGTAATGATCACGGAATGATAACGATTCCTTTTAATCCTTTAATCGTATAAACGACATCACGATTAATTTATCGTTTCATTAATAGACTGCGGATCTTTATACCGTTCGATTATTACACGTAAAAAAAAAAAAAAAGTACGATAAATTGTTACATCCACACTTTAAATCCACTCGGAAAATGGAGAAAACCGTGCCATTGAAGTGACTTTTTTTTTTGATTTACTCCGATATCTCGATGGATTGCCGAGATATAAGAAGTCGAAAGTTTTCATAGCCCAGAAATTATGAATGGGCGACCTACATTTTTTCCAGGAAACGCGTGCTTGTACGTTCTTCTAAGAATTGTGCGGCTACGTTTTTCCAGGAATCGCTTGCCTAGGATTTGGGATAAATCAGTGAGATCGAGGTGCGAGTATATATATATATAGTATAAGGACGAATGTAATGAAATAAAAAATATCTTTTTCTTTACGCGACGATATCTCGGGAATCGGAACTCGTATCGAGATAAATAAAAAAGCGTTTTGAAAAGCAAAATTTCGCGTTTCTAACAGTTTTTCGTTCGTTGGCCGGAATTAACTGTCTTTGGAGTTATAACGGTTCCAAATTTTTCTAATTTCGATACATTTTAATCTAATTTTAAGATCGAAATAAATTAGATCTTTGTCTTTGCTCGATTGATCAAATAAATTTTTCGTAATTTTCGTAATATTTTTATGTGTGAAAAAAAATCCGCAGTCTGTTCATTAGTTTTATATCACGAATTCATCGCTAAAAAATTAAAAAAAAAATCATGTAAATAATCGCGGCTCGATTTTGATATGAAAATCAAAAACACGTTTTTAATGGCTTTTCTAAAACTTTCGCTTCCCGGGATAATTATTTAAAGCTTATTATTTAAATCATTGGCACATTGCTTGTTAGTTGTATATTCGAGCAACAATCCATCCTGAAAAAGAGATGATGTCGATGATCTTTCACCCTAGACTGCGTAAGAGCATCATCGCGTAACTCTCTCAATTGTCTCTCTCTCTCTCTCTCTCTCTCTCTTTTTTTATTTTTTATTTTTTTTCATCATACTCCCCATCATTTTTGAGAAACGAAACAAGCGAAGATTGTTAAAATTTCAGAAATTCAACGAAATAGGGAATTTTACAAGAATGCCGATGTCAGACCGCCGTTTACATACGCATCATTAATTAGACAGGTGAGTGAACCATTCGATACATACATTTTGCATCATAATTCAATTCAGATTCTCGAACGAATTGAGCGCCCCTTTTAATCGGTTTAATTTTCGAAGGAACCCTCGAAACCGGTGAGGATAATATTAAACG